TACGGCAGACGCGTTGTCATATGCATATGGTCGGGCGTTACTTCATGGATTCATTCATCGTTACGGTTCTGGAGATGTCAAATGCTCATGTCTTGCAATTCTGAGATGTTCCATTTTCATCGTTATCACTTCAGATGGGTACATACAGTGTGCTAGCGTTTTGCGTGGTGGTTTAGTGACGCCTTCTACCCACGGATGCTCATCGGCACTCTCATTGGGCTGCAAGCGCTGTGCGGGTCACTAGGCTTCGGCATATGTTTGGCTGTAGTCAGGCGATTCGTCATCTTTGTGCTGGGCCGCTGGTGATGCGCGGCGTCATGCAGGCCGTGGGGTCATCATCGACATGCGTTGTGCACGAGGTGGACCTCGCTATATCTTCACTTGAGTATTGCGTTGATGAGGGCGTGGTGCAGTGTGTTTACAGGTGCTCTGGGTCTTTCTCGGCGTCTTCGTGGTGCTCGTGCTGGCCACGCCCGCTCAGAGTTGTCCTGAATCGTCTATGGCAACAAATCCTCCTCCTCCTCCTCCTCCTCCTCCTCGTCCTCCTCCTCCTCGTCCTCCTCCTCCTCGTCCTCCTCCTCCTCCTCCTCCTCTTCCTCTTCCTCTTCCTCCTCTTCCACCTCCTCATCCTCCTCTTTTTCCTCCTCCTCCTCCTCATCCTCCACCTCCACTCCTTTTTCTTTATAACCAACTTCTCCCTGTCCCACCACGAAGCAAGTTTTAGGGCGGGCCGGGCGTTTCGCCTGAGACCTTCTCAACCTTTTTGTCTCTGAAACTTAACACATGGTAACAGCTTCACACATGGACAGCGGGTGGTTTTCAAAATGTGGCTCTCGCTTTAGCGCCGCACACATTCGTTCTAAACATGTGCAAGAGCTGTGCGGATTGAGGGCGGGTGGTTTTCAAAATGTGGCTTTCGCCTTAGCGCCGCGCGCATTCTTTTCAAACATTGCAAGAGTTTCACGGATTGAAGGCGGGTGGTTTTCAAAAGGTGGCTCCCGCTTTAGCGCCGCGCACATTCGTTGTAAACATTTACCAGGGCTTCACGGATTGAAAGCGAATGGTTTTCAAAAGGTGGCTCCCGCCTTAGCGCCGCGCACATTCGTTTCAAAAACTTGCAAGAGTTTCACGGATTGAAGGCGGGTGGTCTTCAAAATGTAGCTTTCCCTTAGCCCCGCGCACATCCGTTTAAACATGTGCAAGAGTTTCATGGAAGAGAGCGGTTCCTTTTCAACATGTGGCTCTCGCCTTAGCGCGGCGCACATCCGCTTTAAAACTGAACCAGATTTTTCTCGGATTCCCATCATCAACATACCAGACATGGTGTTTCGGAAAGATTCGGTGCAACAATTACGTATGTTGCTTCGCGGCGTTTAACTTCCAAGAATGGCGTTCTGGCACGATTCCAGATCGTCAGGACGCAGAAGTCAGGTCGATCCGTGGAGCGGAAATCCCGAGAACAATACTTTGGCATGCTTCAAGGTCTTCAAACGGTGGTCATCCAACGAGGCAGTTCCCTCAATGGAAATGGACCGTTGTAGGGGACGATGAGGAAGGGGCTTGGAGGGAGGGTCACTTCCAACATCGTTGATGACTCTTGGGTTTACACGCCTCCTCCTTCTCCTCCTCCTCTCCTTCTCCTGTTCCTTATTATCCGTTCGTTTTCCTCATAAATAACTCATCCCAGTCGTACCACAAAGCAATGTTTTAGGGCGGGCCGGGCGTTTCACCTGAGACTTCCTCACCTGTTATGACCCTGAGACTTTGAAATTGGCAACGGCTTCACAGATGGAGGGCGGGTGGTTTCCGGATGTGGCTCTCGCCTTACCTCTGCGCGCATTCGCGTGTAAAAAATTGCGAGAGCTGCACCTATTGAAAGCGAGCTGTTTTCAAAATGTGGCTTTCGCCTCAGCGTCGCGCACATTCGACTTCCAAATTTCCAGAAGAGTTTCGCGGATTCCCATGCTCCGCGTGCCAGGAATGGTGCTTTGGAAAGGTTCTCAGGATTACTTATGAGGGTGCAGTAGTTTCGCTGCTTCGCGGCGTTGACGTCCCAGGAATGGCGGCCTGGCACGATTCCGGATCGTCAGAACGCAACAGTCAGGCTGATCCATCGTTGGAATCCTGGGAACTATGGTTCGGCGTGCTTCAAGGCCTTCAAACGGTGGTCTTCCAACGAGACAGCTCCCCCAGTGGAAACGAGCCGTTGCAGGGGCCCCATGAAGAGGTAGCTTGGAGGGAGGGTTACTTCAAACATCGTAAATGGCTCTTAGGTTTACACTAGCCCTCCTCCTCCTCCTCCTCCTCCTCCTCCTCCTCCTCCTCCCTCTCCTCCTCCTCCTCCTCCTCCTCCTCCTCCTCCTCCTCCTCCTCCTCCTCCTCCTCCTCCTCCCCTCTCCTCCTCCCTCTCCTCCTCCTCCTCCTACTCCTCCTCCTCCTCCTCCTCCTCCTCGTCCTCCTCCTCATCCTCCTCGTCCTCCCAGGGAACCGTCGACGCCAACGCCCCGCCGCGGCCACCGCCGCCGCCGCTGCCGCTGTCGCCGCCGCCGCCGCCGCCGCCGCCGCCGCCGCCGACGACGACGACGACGACGGTGGCGTCGGCGACGACGACGGCGACGACGATGGAGGACAACGCCGCCGCCGACGACGACGACGAGCAGCGGCGACGGCGGCGAGGGCAGCCTCTCGCCCAGGCCTCGCACGCCCGCGGGCCGGTCCTCCTGCTCCGCCAGCGACTTCCGCAGCGCCTCCGCCTCCTGCTGCGAGCGCCACAGCGCCTCCACCTCCGGGGCCACCTGAGGCGCGGGGGGGGAGCGAGACCGGGGTGGGCGAGGGAGCGAGCGGCGGGAGCGAGAGGGGGCGAGGGAGGGGAGAGGGGGGCGAGCAAAGGAGGTAGGCAGGAGCGAGGGGGGGGGGGAGGAGAGGAGGGAGGGGAGGCGAGGAGGGTTGGGAGGGAGAGAGGAGGGAGGGACAGAGAGAGCGAGGGAGGGCAGGAGGGAGGGAAGGAAGGAGGCAGGGGGGGCAGCAGGGAGGCATGGAACGAGGAAGCGAGGGGATGGAGGCGAGTAGCAGGGAGGAGAGGAGAAGAGAGAAGCGAGGACGGGGAGCAAGGGAGGAACGGCGGACAGGGAGGAGGGAGAGAGGCGGAGAGGATGCCAAGCAGGAGGAGAGGAGCAGCACGAGAAGGGAGAAGAAAGGAGGGTTGTGGGAAGGGGGCGGATGGAAGCTCCTCTCTCTCCCTCTTGTTCTCTCTTTCTCTCGTTCTACTGTCTCTCTATCTCTCTCTCTCTCTCTCTCTCTATCTCGCCCTCTATCTCTCTCTCTCTCTCTCTGTTTCTCTCTCTCTCTCTCTCTCGTTCTCTCTCTCTCTCTCTCTCTCAATATATATATATATATATATATATATATATACATATATATATGGATGTATGTATATACATGTATATGCCCATGCATTTCTCTCTCTCTCTCTCTCTCTCTCTACACACACACACATATATATATATGTATGTGTAGCAGTGTCTGTAATTAGTTGCGTAGCTATATCTTTCTCTCTCTCTCTCTCTGCCTCTGTCGCTAGTGTTTGTGCCTCGCTCTCTCTCTCTCTCTCTCTCATTCTCAGGTGTTGCTGATGTGTTTCGTTTCCCTGCGTCTGCTGAGACTACTGCTCCTCGTCCTGGTCGCCCTCCTCCTCATCAGCATGTTCGCCCTCATCCTCACCCTATTCCTCCTTCTCCTCCTCTCCCTCCTCCTCCGTCTCCTCCACCTCCCCCCCTCTTCCTGCTCCCTCTTCCAGATCCGCCTCGTCACTACATCTTCGGATGGCCAAGGGAAACGAATGCGGAAAAGGGCAACCTCCCCCTCTCCAGCTTGCCTCCCCCTCGTCCTCCTCCTCCTCCTCCTCCTCCTCCTCCTCCTCCTCCTCCTCCTCCTCCTCCTCCTCCTCCTCCTCCTCCTCCCCTCCTCCTCCTCCTCCTCCTCCTCCTCCTCCTCCTCCTCCTCCTCCTCCTCCTCCTCCTCCTCCTCCTCCTCCTCCTCCTCTCCTCCTCCTCCTCCTCCTCCTCCTCCTCCTCCTCCTCCTCCTCCTCCTCCTCCTCCTCCTCCTCCTCCTCCTCCTCCCTCCTCCTCCTCCTCCTCTCCTCCTCCTCCTCCTCCTCCTCCTCCTCCTCCTCCTCCTCCTCCTCCTCCTCCTCCTCCTCCTCCTCCTCCTCCTCCTCCTCCTCCTCCTCCTCCTCCCCTCCTCCTCCTCCTCCTCCTCCTCCTCCTCCTCCTCCTCCTCCTCCTCCTCCTCCTCCTCCTCCTCCTCCTCCTCCTCCTCCTCCTCCTCCTCCTCCTCCTCCTCCTCCTCCTCCTCCTCCTCCTCCTCCTCCTCCTCCTCCCTCCTCCTCCTCCTCCTCCTCCTCCTCCTCCTCCTCCTCCTCCTCCTCCTCCTCCTCCTCCTCCTCCTCCTCCTCCTCCTCCTCCTCCTCCTCCTCCTCCTCCTCCTCCTCCTCCTCCTCCTCCCCTCCTCCTCCACCTCCTCCTCCTCCATCCTCCTCCTCCACCTCCTCCTCCTCCTCCTCCTCCTCCTCCTCCTCCTCCTCCTCCCCTCCTCCTCCTCCTCCTCCTCCTCCTCCTCCTCCTCCCTCCTCCTCCTCCTCCTCCTCCTCCTCCTCCTCCTCCTCCTCCTCCTCCTCCTCCTCCTCCTCCTCCTCCTCCTCCTCCTCCTCCTCCTCCTCCTCCTCCTCCTCCTCCTCCTCCTCCTCCTCCTCCTCCGTCACCTTCCCCGAAGCGCCTGGGGCGCGAGTGCAAGCAACAAAAACAATTACGAAGGGGGAGGAGAAGAGGGTCCCCCTCCTTACTCCTCCTCCTCCTCCTCCGTCTCCCTCCTCTATCGTCCATCTTCCCTCCCCTCTCTTCGGCGGCTCCTCCTCCGATCCACATATTCCTCCTTCGATGTTTCTTCGATCCTCCGCACTTTGTCTCACTTCCCAGGGCGGCGAGCATCGGCGACGCAGCGCGGCCAGTAGGATCACGATCACCGACAGCAACATGACAACCTCGAGCAAGTGGCCCCGTCGTTCTGAATACAGCAGGTGAGCCAGGAGCCACTCAGGCGCCCAATACAGCTCCACATCCACAGAGACGAAACCGATCAAAGTGCACGCGGTTCAAGTTTAGCATGGGGACAGCACGCAGGGGGACCGAGAATAACGCGTGCGGAATGATGAGCATCCCGAGTAGTACTGGGATTCCAGTCTCCAGACACCCTCGATCCTTGCCCCACCAGGCCACGCACGCCTCCTGCCCACTGCAGAGCCCAACAAAAACATTCGGGCAGCCAGCCTGCACGACACGAACCAAGCCACAGACATTACACAGTCAACGACTATGGTTGCGGAGCTGCTCGAACTGCCCCCGAGATGCACGCCGCCACGAGCCGAACTCTTTGGCGAGCCATATCGCCATATCTGGTGGTGGAGCGGCGGCGGCGGCAGCCGACTCCGCGCGCCCATCCTGAGCGCCGCGTGCCGCACGGCGACGAACGAATGGTCGACTTGGACGGCCCATACTGACTACCTACCAGACCACCCCAACCCAACCCGAAGACCCGAATTTCGGGTTGGGGGGGTAAGGGCTCCACATGTGTTTTTTCGATGCCCGACCCCCCCCACTGGAAATCGAGGGTAAATCTGAGCCTTCGGGTTGGGTTGGGGTGGTTTGGTGGGCGGTGACATACGCTCGGGCGCCCAGTCGGCGATGCCCAGGTCGTACAGCGCGGAATGCATGGCCACCAGCTGCAGGATGGGGATCCGCACCCCCCGAGCCGCCCGCAAGCCCGCGGCGGCGGCGGCTGCGCCAGCGTGCAGCACCGCCGACATCCTGCATCCTGCCCGCGGCCCATCTCCTCGAGAAGGCCGCTGGGATACGCGAGCTCGTCGGAGTCGCACGTGGGAACTTCCCTCGAGCCGCTGTCCACGCCGCTCCCGGCGTCGAGTGTGCCCGACACGCTCTCGCTGGTGCGGCCGCCGCTGCCGACGGCTGCGCCGCCCCCCGAGGGCGCTCCGGCATCCAGAGCAGCCAGGCGCCAGCCAGCCAGGCCGCCGACGAAGGCTACCGCGTGCAGCTGCCAGCACATGGTGCCGAATTTTTTGATTCGCGGGTCGAGAGCGCACCTCTTCCGGTCGAAGCTAAGCGGGCCGAGCGACGCTTGAATTAACAAAGAGGGGGGACAGAAGCATGGTGCCGAAGACGAGGGGCACATTCCTGACCGCGCTGGCCCATCCCCAGGTGGCGGGGGGAGGGCCTCCCACGCGCCAGGCGGTTCCAGGGGCAGCGCAGGGGCAGCCGAGGGCAAGGCCCCGAGGGCCTCCAGCAGGACCACCTCGCGGGAGGCGGCCTGAGGTCGCCACTGCAGCAGCGGCGGCGGCGTCGCCGAGGGGACTCTGCATCGCAAGCTCGCCGACGGGCTGGACTTCGGGAGCTGCACGGACACCCTCGCCGTCGGGTTGCACGTCAACCTCACCACGGAGAGTCCCCCAAGCCGCGGCCTGTGCTGCGCCAACCGGATGCAGCGCCTGCCGGTGAAGTCGTCCCTTGCAATTCTGGAGCCTTGGCGTGAAGTGCGACGTCACGACGAAGCCCGTCGAGCCACGAATGCTCCCGGCCAGCAGCGAGCTCACGCGGAGCGGGAAGCAGGGCGAGCAGCCTGTCAGGCAGGTCGGCCTCGCCCGCGGAGGGCATCGAGGACGTGTTCCGCCGTGGCCAGCCGCGCCTCGAGGTCGCAGCCCCTTCGCCGCGCGGCCTCGGACGGCGGCGAAAGGCAGCCTCGCGCGAGCGCCGCGCTGCCGCTGTCCTCTCCGAACGCGTCCTCGGGATCCGACCGCGGACCCCTCTCGTCGCCATCCATGCCTCGCGCCCCACGCCCGTCGAGCCAACGGCAATGGGGCCTGGCACCACATGGGCCAAAATGGCTACGGAGAAACCCATCCCCTTCGATCCTCCTCGTCATCCTCGTCATCATCCTCCTCCTCGTCATCCTCCTCCTCATCCTCCTCCTCCTCCATCATTCCTTTTCCTTGTGGAGACCTCCTCCCTGTCGTACCCTCACGCGTGCCGGTAGGGCTGGACGGGCGTCTCGCCTGAGACTCCCATGCCACTGATGACCCAGAAGCCTGAACATTGCAACAGCTTCAAGATGAAGGGCGGGCCGTTTTCACAATAGAGCTATCGCTTGAGAACCGCGCACGATCGTCTTACAAGCTTGCAACAGGTTCAAAGATGGAGCGGTATCGTTTTCAACGTGGGGATCTCGCCTTAGCGCTGCACCCATTCGTTCTGACTTCGAGTTTGCAACCATCTCATGGACGGAAGACAGTTCCTTTTCAAGGTGGTGCTCTAGCTTTAGCCCCGCGCACATTCGTCTTCGACGACAGTAATGTTTACAATAATGGAACGTTGCTCATATTCAAAATGGAACTCTCGCCTCAACGCTACGCTCACTCGTTCAAAAAGACCTGCGACTGCTTGAAAGGGGGGAGAACGATTATTCCCCAAACTTGTGATATCACTTGAGACTCTCTTAACTTAAAATGCTCGGAGATTCAACGTGTAGGACTGCACGAAACCAGGGCGGCTCCTCTCAACAGTGGAGCTCTCGCTAGAGACTTCCTCGAACCCTCATGACCAGACTTCCTCGAACCTTCATAACCACTTATGCCAACGTGTGCAACAGTTACACAGGGGGGGGAGGGTGGTCCATGTTTCCAAATGCTGGCATCGCTGGACATCTCGTCGCACTGGATAATAGTGTTCTCGTAGTCTTGATTACGGGCCAGAAGGATGCAAGGCGGTTCCGATTCAGCACGGGGCCTTTGCCAGAAAGGCGGGCCTTTATGGCGTTGGTATTTCAAGAGGTGCGCTTCCTGTGAGGAGGGGAGGGTGCATTGCACCATCGGTGATGCAGATTGGACATACTCTGATCCTCCTCCAACTCCTGCTCCATGGCACATTATGTTCGTACGCATCATGCTCATCGGCATGATCATCAGCATCAGCATCACCACCACCATCATCACCATTACCATCACCATCATCGTCACCACCACCAGCATCATCGTCGACAGCATCATCATCGCAATCACCAACGTCGCCACCATGATCACCACCGACATCATTAGCATCAACATCACTTGCAGCATCATATACATCCTCATCCTTGTCCTCATCGCCTGTACCATGGTCCTCATTGTCATCGTCATCGTCAATCACATTCATCAGCATCATCATCCTCGTCGTCGTTATCATCACCGTCAACCCCTTCGTAAGGCTCCTGCGGCAAAAAGCGTCGAAAGTCGTTTAAAGAGCCTTCAACTCCCGGAGACATCCCCCAAAACAAGTGACGACGCCTCAAGACGTCGAAAACCTTAGAAATGTCCGAAGACGCTCGAGAAAGGCAAAAACATTCGAGGAGGGAGGAAGAAGGACGGAGGAGGGAGGATGAAAGAGGAATGAGGATGGAGGAGGGAGGAGGACCCGGAGAAAGACGAAGGCGGGCCGAAGACAAGGAGAGAGGGGAGGGAGGAGGAAGAGGGAGGGAAGGAGAGAGGAGAGAGGGAAGAAGACGAGCTAGATGCGCTCGCGCCATACCTGACATCCTATCCCTGCTTTCCATCCCTTCCCATTGAGCTGATCTGTTCTCTATCCGCGCACGCGTGTCCTAGACGACCTGCAACTCCACGAAAGACCCCATCGTGTTCCGCGCAGTCGGGCAAGGGAAACTCGCCTTCTGTGGCCTGTGGGGCCTGAGAGATCTGCGACACCTGTGGAACCTGTGGATGGAACCTGTGGGACCTGTGGAAACTGTGGAGCCAGTGAAACCTGCGAGACCTGAAGGACCCGTGGCACCGGCGGGACGTGCAGAACCCCTGGGGCCTGGGGGGGCCTCGGTTTGACCTGCGAGACATGCAATACCTCTGGGACTTGTGGGACCTGTGGGACCCGTCGGACCCGTGGGACCTGTGGGGCATGCGAGACCTGCCACCTGCGGGACCCGCCCGCCGCGGGACTGGCGGAACCTGTCAGAGCAGTGGTACCCGTGGGACCTGTGGGACGACCCGCGACACTCGTGGGTCCCCTGGGACCTGTGGGATCTGTGGGGCACGCGGGACCTGCGAGACCTGTGGGATCCGGAACAGTCGCCCACGCTGGGGCGGGAGCGCCATCCTGAACGACGGGAGCACACCACCGATCCGAAAAAGAGGCCCACGCTGCAGGGAGAGCTCAACTTTAGAAACAATCGTAAACCGTCGGTTGTGAAAAACCATGTAAGTGGAAAAAGCAATTCGCGCAAATCCTGCATAACAAGGGGCCATGGCATCGGGTCGATACAAATCAAACTGGGTCGGCGTGATCATCGAATCGGCCAAAGTCGGCTGTGCCATCGAATCGGCAAAAATCTGCAAACCCGAACCGGATCGAATCGGAAACCGGCTCGCGTGAAGCCAGATCGGAATCGACATCGGAAGGCAGGGGGGCAAGCCAGAAGACGCAGGAGGTGATTGGCCCGAATCTGGTCGTCGTAAGTCGTCGTCGCCGTACGTCGTCGCACACGTCGTCGCAGACGTCGTCGTCGTCGTCGTTAGCGTCGTCGCACGCGTCGTCGACGTCGAGTGTCGTCGGCGGCGAGCCCCTCGCACGCAGCCCCCGAAGGCCCCAGGGGGCTCCCGGCCTGGGACGCCCAAGGCCCCCTGGGAGGCCCCCACAGGGCGCCGCCAGGGCTCGCTGGCCTGTGGGGCCCTGGGGGAGGAGGAGGAGGAGGAGGAGGAGGAGGAGGAGGAGGAGGAGGAGGAGGAGAGGAGGAGGAGGAGGAGGAGGAGGAGGAGGAGGAGGAGGAGGGGGGGAGGGGGAGGAGGGGGAGGAGGGGGAGGGCCCCTGGGGGCCCCTTGAGGGGCTCCCAGCCGGGAGCTCCGAGGGCCCCCCCCGGCCTGAGGGGCCCGATCGAGAGGCCCCCAGCGCCCTGGGGCCTGGAGGGCTCCCAGGGCCGCGTGGGGCCCACGGAAGGTCCCCTGGGGGGGGGGGGGCCTGGCTGCTCCCAGCTCCCAAGGGGTCCCAGTCCGAGGGGCCCCAGAAAGGCCCTGTGTAAGCCCCCCCCCCCCCCCCCCAGCCTGAGAGGCCGCCTGCAGGACCCCACTCCCAGAAGCCCTCGGTCTGAGGGGCCCTAGAGGCATCCAGTCTGAAGTGCCTCATGGGGCCCTAGAGGCATCCAGCCTCAAGTGCCACTCGGGAAGGTTCGGGCTGGCGATCGGGGCCCCGTCGGGGCCTGGACGTGCAACCGCGTGGAACGTAGTACGTTCTAGACCATATGCTCAAAGCCGGATCGGCCAGAATCGGCAGACACATCGAATCGGCAGGAGTCGGAGCGGGCCAACTCGAAATCTGCATCGCGAATCGGAATCGCGACTGGGAATCGCGAATGGAAATCTCTACATCGAACCAGTTCTCATCGGCAACCAGAGAAATCAAATCTAATCGGGCCCGCGGATTCGGGATGACCCCTGGAGGCGTGCCGAATACTCTCAAGACACATTCGGGGGAAAGAGAGAGGAGTGAGCACATCTTATAGATTTGGAGAGGAGCAGGGGAGGCAAGACTGAGCAGGAGCGAGCCTTTCGGAGGCCCCTGGGAGTCCCTCGAGGGCCTGTGGACATCCCTCGAGCCCCTTCGAGGGGCCCTGGAGATCCTTCGAGTGCCCCCCAGAAGGCTGTCGAGGGAGAGCCCCCGGAGGCCCCCCTCGAAGGGCCCTCGAAGGCACGAGGAGCGCCCTCGAAATCCGGCGGGCCCCCCACCCGAGCCCCCAGGGGCCGCCCGGAAGCCGACCAAACGGCATCAAAAACAAAAAAAACCTAAATCAAACATACCCCCTATAGGGCAGTCTTGTAATACATCGGAGTTTGACAACATATGTTTTTTTAATACATGATTAATGTATGAATAGATTTATGCATGAACTTATCGTTGTTTTTTAATACTAAACCCTGCATTGTAATACATGATCCGCACGCGGAGCATGTATTAAAACCGGCGCTGTACAGGCGGAGTTTGGACGAAAGATGAGGAAATCGTCAGAACAATGCTCAAACATCATCCAAACATAGCCGAACAGAAACGTCCCCAGACTATTTTTTGGCCAGTTTTGAACACTCCTCCTGCAGAGGGGCTTGCCCGACTCGAGGCAAGCCTTCGAAGACGCCAAGGGATCCTCAAAGGCAGCGAGGGCCGCCGCCGGGAGCCTCCGAGTGCCCCCGGCGCGGACCGCCGCGGAGGCCGTGCGAGGAGCCGCGTGGCCGCACGGTGGGGCGCCCCCGATCTCGCCATCGCTCGGACGTCCACTCCCCGTGTTTTTTGTCGGTGTCGTGCGTGGCATTTTTTCGCCAAATGATCAGGGATGCTCCTCGATGGTCCTCGCCGGAAGGAACATGCACACGTCCGAGCGGTGCCCGGCGATGGGCTCCCGGGGAGGGTCCCGCGGGAGCCGTCGGAGCAGTGATCCCCAGCAGGCGCCCGACGGGACCCGAGAGCCACGGCCGTCAAACGTCGGCCGTCGGCGGAGGCCGCGGCGGCGGCCGCGGCGGCAGCGGCGGCGGCGGCGGCATCGTCGGCGGGCGGAAGAGGAGGAGGAGAACAAGGAGGAGGAGGAGGAGGAGGAGGAGGAAGAGGACGAGGAGGAGGAGGAGGACGAGGAGTAGGAGGAGGAAGATGAAGAGGACGAGGACGAGGACGAAAAGGAGGAGAAGAAGGAGGAGAAGAAAAAAAAGAGAGATGAAAGAAAAAGAAGAGGAACAGGAGGAGCAGCGGAAAAAGAGGGGAGAAAACGCGGAGGGGGAACAAGAGGAGGGGGAACAGGAGGAAGTGGAGGACGAAGAGGAGGTCGCCGAAAAACGAGGTCGCCTGCGCACGCACCAGCGGCGACGGCGCGGCATTGGGCGACGGAGCCAGGGGGCGCTGCATACTGCGGGGCCGCGGGGGGAGGGTGTCAGTTCGGCGCGGGTGGGGAGGAGGGGGGCAGGAGGAGGAGGAGGAGGAGGAGGAGTTTCCTGTGGCTGGACAGTGCCATGGGATGGGTATATGGGACCCCCGCTTTCGCGTGGCCGTTTGGCGGCCGGGGGGCCCTGTTGAACTCCTTCGCTGCTCTGAGCGTCCTGGCCCACACTCCTCTCAAACAGCTGAGGGCTGCCGACCCCCGCCTTCGAAAGGCGAGCCGCACTCCTCCGCCAGGCCGCGGAGGACGCCGCTCTCGCGAGCCGAGCCCTTCCCGCCGCGTGCAGCACAGAAATTTATGGGGGGACCTGGCCAGTGGGCACGGGCGGCCCCCGCCCGTGTGCCAGGCCGCACTGGAAGCGAAGTCGCCGAGACTGCAGCCTGGACTTACGTTGCTCCTCCTCCTCCTCCTCCTCCTCCTCCTCCTCCTCCTCCTCCCTCCTGCTCCTCCTGCGCCTCCTCCTTCTCCTCATCCTCCTCCTCCTCCTTCTCCTCCTCCATCTCCTTCTCCTGCTCCTCCTGCTCCTCCTGCTCCTCCTCCTCCTCCTTCTCCTCCTTCTCCTTCTCCTGCTCCTCCTGCTCCTCCTCCTCCTCCTCCTCCTCCTCCTCCTTCTCCTCCTCCTCCTCCTCGGGGAGGCGGGGGGAGGGCTGAGCAGTCTGGACTCACGTCGCTCCCATCGTACGTTTAAGGGCCGCATCCCAGAACTCATTCCGAGCGCCCCGAAGCGCATCGCAGCAGCGTCCAACGAGCATCGCCACCCAGGGCCCGCCACGTGAGAAGCCTCCCGTTTGGGTATACCTTCCTGATGCTCGAAATCCTCTCTGGCGATCAGGGCCGAAGAAGGCTGGAACATCATGAGTCAGGACCGGCACGCACTGGTAGGGCAGCCGCTCGGTCACATTCTGGCGGTTCTCCCCGCAGCTCTCCAAACGGGAGCCCTCCTTCCCTCCCCCCAGACCCTTAGGCCGCACCACACCGCGCGTAGTCCGATCAACCACCAAGTCGCAGCTACTGGCCGGGGCAAACTTCTGCTTGGGCGGCGCGTGCACAACTCTGCCAGGGCCCCGAGAGTCACAACGAACAGACTCCTCGAGCACCGCCACTTGCCCCGTCAGAACCCTACTCGCAAGGCGCTCCGCATCACGACGACCCCTGTCAACTTCGGCTTCGGACAGCTGAAACTTTCGAGGGGCAGCATCGGCCTGGCGGTCGACCAAGTCATTGGCATGTCTCTGGAGCTCGGGGGCGCCTAGAAACCTGGTTCGGTCCTCGGACGCGGGGAATTCCACCTAGTGGGTGGTCAGCCGCGCCTCTCCGAGGGCTTCCCGAAGGCGCTGCCAGAGGTCCCCATTGGTCCCAAGGCGTTTGGATCGGGGTCTGTTGACCCCGATCCAAACTAACTGGAGCCCGAGATGATGCCCATGGATCTACCAAGGCTGGCGCAGACTTCAACCCGATAAATTGACAACAACATCTCAACCCGATTGATCGTCTGCATAGGCCTTGGCAGGCCTGACGCCAACCCTTTCACATCCTGGACCAGGTGCCAGACCAGTCTCGAACACACCTGAGCCAACGCGCAGCAACTCCCCCCCGACCCGGCCCAGGCCACCCGCTACTCCGTCCAACTATCTGGTCCTCTGCCTCCCGCAGCTTGGGACCAGTCCCACCCAAGGTGGTCGTCAGAGTGCGGAGCAATTTCGGCCCGTGCCGAAGGCATGGCCACGCGCAGCCAGAACGCAGGGTGGGCTCGACACTCGTCTCTCGCACGGGCCTCGAGGTCCGCTGTCTCCCTGCGCCCCTGGAGAGCCCAATTCGCGGCACATCCCCACGCGCGGTGAGAGCCAGTCTCCACCACCTGATCAGGGCACCGCTGACAGAGGACCTCCGACTCTTCGAACACGCCTACCTCGAGCATCCAGCCCCTGGACCAGCTCGCGGCCGCGGCCGCCACGATCAGGGAGTCTCGGAGCGCCCGACGGCCTGCTGAGCGGCCCTGCGATCCAGGGCAGACGACCACTTGCGAAGCGAGTGCGCATCGACGCCGCCCTCGGCCCCAGGCCCCCGGGCAGCGGGCAGCCACGCGACGCCGCAACCTAGCCCAGACAACCAGGAGCACATCTGGCACAGACGGTTCAAATCCATGAAGCCGCGGCCCAGCCACCAGACGCTGCCCGTCGGGGCCAACCACTCCAAGCTCCGGGGGTCCTGCGGGGCCAGCCGTGATCCAGGAAAACCGGCAGAATCCCCGAGATGGCAGCATGGCTAGCATCATAGTCGTCATCAGCATCACCAGCATCATCACTGCTCTCCTCCCTGCTCTCCTCCCTCATGCTGCTTCATCCACCTCCTATTTCCCCCTCCTCTGCACCACTCTCCCGTCCCCCTTCCCCTTCTCCACCGTTCCCTCCCTCTGCTCCTCCTTCTCCTCCCCTCCTCCCCATCCATCTCCATCATTCCCTCCTCCTTCTCCTCCTCCTCCTCCTCGACGACGACGACGGCTACGAGGGCAGCGATGGCGGCGGCGACAAGGGCAGAAACGGCGGCGGCGGCGACAACGACAGCGGCGACGGCGACGGCGGCGGCGACCGCGGGCAACGGCAAACGGCGACCCGGGGCAGCAGGCCCCGCCTGCTGAGACGCACTGCCGGGCTGACGGCGCCAGCCTGGCCCCGCGGCACAGGCGCTGGCGCGGTGACGGTTGTGCGGGTCGGCAACGGCTGCAGCGAAGTCGACGCCTTCGCCTCGGTTCGGTGTGTCCCTAGGGGGTCGCCGCGATCGGGCGCGATTCGGGAGACTAGCCATGATGGGCCCCAGGAGGGGTCCAGGGACCAACTTTGGAACTGATTTGGATCGGGCGACGACGACGGAGGCGGCGGCGCCCCCCTCCCCCGCCCCCGCCCCGTCCATCCATCCATCCATCCCCCTCCTGCGCCCCGCCCTTTCCTCCTCCACCCCCCCTCCCCCGCCCCCTCCCGCCC